CTAACTGACGATCGTACACAACTAAAAAAAATCAAATCAAACTCCCTGAAAATTTAACCCCTCTTTTTTTTTTTTTTTTTTTTTTTTTTTCAAGAATATTAGATCTCTCGGATCATTTTCATCGGAGCAGGCTTCGATAATCCAGGATACACGCACATCGTGAGTTTTCGTCAGATATGATATCCAATCCAAAGACATTCCAAATCCATCGAAATTATGACGATACATCTGATTGGATATATTTCCCAGCAAAAAAAGTAGTAGCTTGCTTTTTGTGCGGGGAAAGGGATCGTGCGACTAAATTCTGCAAAAGCTTTGATCCCCGACCACTTCCTTGCTAGACATAAGCTTTCACGCAACTCCGGCTTGTGTCTAGCAAGGAAATAGTTACTGATCTAGTCGTCCGTGCTGAACAGCCAAAATCTTTTCACGCCTTACCTTCATTTCAAATTTCTGCTACATTGTTGTCACAGATACACAAACTGCAAGCTGAAAACGTCACGAAGCATCCTTCTGCCACCTCCAAGATGCATCGAGAGACAGCTTACTGACTTTAGCTCCTTCGACAACTCTTTTAGAGATTTGAATGCTGTCAAAGATGATGACAGACGTAAAGCAGTTGTTTCCTACCTAAAAAAAAAAAAAAAAGAACAAAAATCAAGAAACGCAAAACGGCTAACAGGGCAGAGATTTTGCTAGGAGAAATCTCCTTGTTGATGCTGCCTGCGAAGAAGTACACCTGAGATCCCAGTTGAAACCATCCAGTGAATTTTCAAAGTTGTCTATAATTTCTACTAGACACGCACGACAATCCGAAAGTTCTGAAAGCAGCGTTAAATCACGCAAGGGACGTACTAGCTCTAATAAAGATGTTTTCCTCTACTTGGAGTGTAAGATGAAAAGCCACGACAATTGTCAAATGTTCTTATCCGGAAGATGCTGCGAGGGAGGATTTCTCTCTTCCAACGGAAGACTCATCGTTACGGTTTTATTTTTTTCTTCTGGAACTTGAGAAATCTTTGCTCCGAGTGTTTGATAATTTGGTCCATCTTGGTTAATTAGTTGACATCCTCATCCTCGTTGGAACGTAATTGACTGACAAGAACAACTTTAAGTTTCCAGGATTCGTAGAGTCCATCAGGAAGGATGGAACCCGTTCGAAAAGTGGTGGAATTCTAATTCTTATCCATTCTTATCGTGGCTTTCAGGCAAATTTCTAACGTCAAATCTTCTGACATCTCTTATAGTTGAACTATAAACAGCGGTGTTTGTTTAAACCAGATATAAAGTTGAACCAGAACTTGATATATTTGTCTGCTGTAGAATTTCAGGCCTCGCTCTCATATACAACATCAGTGGGATCAAATTGTTCAAAATATTGATACTAAATGCAATTGCATTCTAGTAGGTGATGTTCTCTTGTATACAGAATGCAAAGTTCTCTTTTATACATTCTGTAAACCTGGCAAATCGCTGAAAATCTTTCGTAAACAGTTTCTATCTCTCAATTCGCAGACGATATCTGATTATTTACACCAAATTGTCATTCTGCCACAAACTCCTTGGAAGAAGCTATCAGCAAAAATCTGTCCGACATTGGCCTTCAACTTGATGCTGTAAGACTGCCTCGTTCCATTGATTGTTAACAACTGAGAATATAAAATATTTCCTGCTTTCTTATTTTCTTCGTGTTTCGGCGTCTGTTAAACTCGCTTTTTTAAATAAAACTCGCGCCGCCGCAAGTTAATGATTGCAGCGCCACCACACGGTGAAATAGACGTAATAGACTTTCTACGATTCTCGAAACGTAATCGATATTTCGCACGATCGATTTTTAACCGGGAAGCATGGCGGAAAGGAGCACATCCCGTCCGTAAAGAAGGAAATGTTATCCAGAAGAAGAATCAGCCAGATAAAAGTGTCATCCAGACGTTCAGAGGTAAAAATTTAACTCGATAGTTGTTAGATTTGTGCCTGCATCGTGAATTTTTTAAGATAAAACGTGCATTTTTGGCTTCAACTCGAGATAAGAATTTAGCCAAACGATTGTTGCACACAATTTTCAACAATTGAAGAAATAATAGCATATAGACGTTTAAACAGAACGTGCCATGCTAAGAGTTACGTATGATTTTATATCAAAATTTAATTTCAATTCTAACCAGAACAAATATTGCGATCTTGTAATTGATTATCTTGATTTTGACTAACTTCTTATAATACATATACATATATATATATATACGTACAATATGCTTTTTCTTTTATCGTAACAATTTCTATTCATTCTTTGATCGACCTAATACCGCGTAATTCTTAACGATACTAAATTTTAAATACTAAATTCAACGATAATTTAATAATTTCGATAATTTAGCAGCTTCATCGCAAGTGATTGTATTTTGTGGGAAATACAGCGCGACTAACAGCTCCCCCAACGGTGAAATACGGAATAGACTTTCTACGATTCTCGAGAACGTAATCGATATTTTTGGCGATCGATTTTTAAGCGGGAAGCATGGCGGAATGAAGCACCTTTAAAGGAGGAAGTAAGCGCTGAGGTAAAAATTTAAATCAATAGTTGTTAGATTTGTGTTTGTTATAAATTTTTAAGATGAAACGTGGGGAATTTTTGACTTGAACTCGCAAGCTAAGATTTAACCAAATAATTATTATATATAATTTTCAACAATCAAAGAAACAACAGTATATAAACAGAACATACTGTGCTGTGTCATTTATAATTTCATACCAAAGTCATACATAATTTTATACTAAAATTTAATTTCAATTCTAATCGGTACAAATACTGTAACTTGTGATTGACTAACTCACAGTTTTATATATATATTTTATCATATGCTTTTTTCATATGCTTTTACACGCACACACACACTTCTGTTGTAACATTTTCTGCTTATCTGTTGTCTTTTATTAACTTTGTACTGCGTAATTAACTTAACAATTCTAGTAGTAAATTCAACAATAACTTATCAAGAATATAAGTATTTAATAGTTAAATTAATAATTTTACTGATGTAATAAAATTTTTCATTCCAATGTTTAATGTCTTGTTACAGATGTTCTGCAATCTTCGCTTCCCGTAAAGCTTCAAGAATCTTACGATGCTTGAAAAGTTAAGAAAGTTAAAAATGTGAGTAGCACGTCAGCACGTTGTACTTGGATCAGTTGCGTTCCCTATAGTTGTCTTCTTGTCAAAGTCGAATAAGTAAAGTTACAACTAAAAAGTAAAAACATTTCAAACTATTCAAATTATCGCGATATCTTTCAAATCGCCATTAATTTGTAGAAAAATTTGAATTGAAACAAAACACCGTGTCTTTATGCTTTTTAAGAAACTTTTTACGGCGTTCATGCTTCAACGGAATGGAATTTACTCTGAGTGAAATTTACTCGACGAGGAGGAT